CAATCAAGCTCTTTATTCGGGCAATTCAACGAGACAATAAGTTTATGCGAACATTAGTTATCTTTAGATAAAATTTGAAAGAATATTCAATCCTTCCACATAATAAACAAACGAAATAATTTTCATGAACTGTATTAGGAAATTATTAGAATGAATACGGTCCTTCGTGCACTATCGTACCTTCATTTTAGGTCCATTAAGATACGAATTTTTAGAATTTAACGACTATTGTACTTAAGCTTCCATCAAACTCGAGCATATTCTCTGGCCGTAAGTAAACAGAACTGAAAGCCAAATACTTGATTGTGTCATTATTTACACTCTGTTGTAAAGATCTCTTTTGAATTTGTTTAAAATTGAAAGCAAAATAAAGATCAATAACCTAATAGGTTGATTCTCTGAGATTTGATTCAATAGTACGTAAAAATGAAGAAATTTTGTTGACAATGCTATGTAAAAGCAGACAGTGCAAAAGGAGAAATAAAATAATTTTAAGCAGATGCCGAGACAAAATAGGCTTGAATCTATCTAATATTTTCGCAGACCCTTCAATAGAGGATAATCAATTGAGAAGGTATATTGCTGGTGAAGCTGAAAGAATTGACGAATTTATGGAACAACCCTATGCGTAGAAAGATAGTAGCATGTCTAGATAATGGAAAATGATAACTGCATATTGAGGCTGCTTTTTGACTTCAATATTCAAATAGAATAGCGTACAATATTGCCAAGAAACCAACATATTTAATAAATGATTAATTGCCGTTTCAAATGTAGTACAACGCCATGCAGTATTTATGTTGGTTTGTTGCTAGTGACGCTGATGATGTTATCATGCAGTGCCGGTAGTTTCCTATTCGCTACAGTGTCCTGTAATATAGAGTAACATATTAACGTAGTTTCGATATTTTTCATTATATACTATATTGTGACGTCATGAGAGTTTCCGAAGCACCTTAATTAAGGTGCTATGCTACCGTACAGTGCGTTGGCTTCCCAATTTTTCTTAGTTATACGGAAAAAGTTGGCCAGAAATTCTTAATAGTTAAGCTATTAAATTGTCACTTCAAGATTTTCACTGGAAACTTCACCATCAAATACGTGATTGGCTATTTGCTAATAACTGCATATTAGTTGGCATTAGTATGATATTAGTTGTGTTGCGATGTGATGTGAACCGCCGTAATTTATTTTTGTACTTAGGTTTATATTATGTGGTTCCAAGATGATTCATACTTTATTTCCAGCGAACTCTATTAATTGTTATTAGTGCTAGGAAGGAAATGATATAGATTTTATTTAAAATAACTACAGTTTTCCGATAACAATGCAGTCATATATTAAATACTCTGAAATTTTATATTTGTTATAATCTTAAAGCTGGTGTTAAATTTCAATTTGACTACGTCTGCTATATAGTTTTTACACTTAAGTTTATTAAACAATATAAACGCTTCGATGTTGAGCCTATGTGCAATTGAGGAACAGCATGTGGTTTATACGTGTTAATCTTAATGAGCTCATTTGACACTAATTCAATGTATCATATATTTACTAGTATGAATGGTCCTATGTAATTAGAAAGTGAAAACTCAAATGACACTTTTGAGGTTAGAAAAAAAAAACACTATTTTCTTACTTAATTGGCCCTAATTAAAAATGTCATTTGTTTTCGTTAACAATTATTACTTATAAGTTTATGAAAACCCTTGGAATGTATTCCATTAATTAAGAATTGACTGATTGAAGTATTTATTTGATGCTAATACTATCCCACTAGCAGCCACCTTAGTGCAAGCATTGTTCAAATAGCCGTGTGTGCATTTTAAAGTGCAGCATAAAGGTGTTCCACCCAGCTGCACTATGGTGTGAGCGTTGATTTTATACCTGTTTGTGCGCTTTACAGTTTATATAAAATATCGATTATATTATTGTTACGATACGTAAGTTCGTTCTAATTATAAGGTAGCATGAAAGATTATTTGTGTGAATTGACGTTTTATTAACCATCATTTCCTCATATAACCTGTTTAATCTTTGATTAATACGATAATACACTGCTAGTGTTGTTGTCAATTGATTTAATTAATTTATTATATGATTAAGGTGTTAAATTGTCATCTTGTGTTAAGAGTTTAGCTCTTTATTAATTTATTGTTAGTTCTAAATAATAGATGTTATTAATTAATTATCTTATATGAAGTCTTTAATGACAATATTCATATTATTCCTATAGCTTTAGAAGGATAATTTTACTTAATGTGTACCGGGAATTTCTGATGAGACTATAAAAGGCTGGTGC